ACCACGTAAATATGGTGTTTTCTCTTTTCTCTCCATTCAATGTCTGTACATGTATGCTCCCACGAAACATACCAAGATCTGTGGTAGGATAAAGCTTTGAACCAATGATCTTATCCAAAATACCAGTGGTACAATACACAAATGACATAAACACTACAATGTCTCTATATTGCCAACTCGTTATAGACATTGAGCTTATATCTGTAGTCGCCAATTTGGAGTTGACATTTTTCTCAAGATTTCTAGATTTCAAAGCATAGAAATGATCCCTTCAAATCATAGAAAAAGCTTAGAATAACTATTTAATCCCAAGGAACCACACTAGCCTAATACAACATAGACCATAATGATCCATAGTCATTCCAAGCCATAATCCAACCCAAAACAATCCAAAATTATCTTAAATTCCAAAAACATTTAGTCTTAGGAAACCTAAACCTAGGCAAAGGCAAGTTTTGTAGTCAAAAGCAAAGGAATTATTGTGAACAATGTCAAGTTGCATGATTTTGATAAAAAACAGTAAGTAAAAACCCTTTGAATCGGAATCCCAGAAAATATATGCCAATCAAAGTCAGTTCGTCATCCGCACTGCAACTTGCAATACATAAGCCCTAAAAACTGCGCCTTAGGGTGCGGCATGGCTAGTTGTTAGCTCCTTATTGGCTTATATCACTGCCTTCTAATTTCTCATGCTTATTTTCCCATATAAACTCATTTTCTATCATAGGATTGTATAAACCTTAAGCCTTAGTTCATTTTTAGGAGCAAGAAAACCCCAATTTTTCAACAACCGCGATCATCCATTTTTCAGAAAAACCTATTCATTTTATACGATACAATGCCCTAAACGCTATATATTTATACGCGTTTCAACCTTACCTCATTAAAGATCAAGGGTAAGTCATTTGTTTCAAAAGAAACGGGCTCAAACATTCAAATAAGGCTTTGACCAAAGCTCAAATACTGAGTATCGAACTGGAAGGCCACGGCTAGTCTGTAAGTTCTTTATTTTGATTTATTCTAAGTTTTATAGCATTTCTTCTAATTTTCAGCCGTTATCTGGCTTCTTATTTTTTTTAGTTCTATAGTTTGGACTTCGTTGCTATTACAGCCGGTGCTGCCAGCAATCCAAAGAGGGTTCACTCTCTTAAGTGAGGTCGAATCATCTTTGGGTTGGAATTCATGACACTATATATTTTAAGTTAACTTGTACAAAGTGAATTGCACCAAATCTAGTATAAGTTCGGGCATGGATTTAACTATATACAATATCCTTATTTCATGAGTGTATAGGCACCCAGCCTAACTTGTTCTCTAATTTCTAGATCTTAAGGTATAGAAAATGACCCATAAATCTATGGAAGACATGAGAATAAGCCATTTCATCTATAGGAACCACACTAGTTCAGTACATCATCGACCATAGTGATCCATAGTAATCAAGCCAAATATTCCCAAATATTATGTAAATCTTATCCTTTCTAAGTGAAGGAAGCAAGAGCAGCAAAGGAGGATCAGTGCGAGGTAGAGCGGAGGAAAGTAAAGCAACGAAGGCAGGCATGCAGCAAGAAGTATTGCAGCGTAAGGGAGATAGGGAGGTATGATGGGACCCAATGACGTCCATCCCCCAGGCTTCAAATGACCATGCCAACACCGTTGGATGCAAGGGTTCTAGGGCCTAAATCCCAAGCTTAGGAAACCCATTTTCTCTCAAATGGCAAGATTTACAGTGAATAGGATGCAAAATATTGTGGAAACTATCAAACCATGTGATTTTGATAAAAAAAGGCAAGTAAATATCATCATAATCAAATTCCTGAGAAAATCTATGTTAAACTGGCCTAACTAGGTGATTATGCCACACAGTGCGGCTCATGTATCAGAAATCTAGCATTGCAAGGTGCGGCACAACCACGAGTCAGCTCAGGATTGGCTCAGATAACTGCCTTCTATTTTTTTAGTACGTTTTAGTTATAAATAGACCTCATTTGAACCCTCTCAGAGGTTGGCTCATAAAAAGATTCAATCAGTAGAAACCCTAATCCATCTAAATCCTAATCTAAGAGCCTTAGTAAAATCCTAACCCTAATTATCTATATAGCCATGACCTAATCCTAATCACCAAAACCTAATTCATTCATCTCATAGCTTGAACCCTAGTTACCTTTCATATCACAACCTCTAAGTTCAAGGAAGACATTTTTCCAAGGGATCAAGGGGTTCATTCAATCAATATGCTCTGATCGAGGCTCCTACTTTGGGTGTCGGGCCGGCCAGCCTGGAAGTTTGTTAGTATTTTATCTTATTGCTTTGTTTCCTTATTTTATTTCATGGTTTATTATTTTTCTACATTTAGGCTCGAATTTGCGCCAGTTTCTCCTCGCAAAACTAATTGAAAAGTGATAAGTAGGTAGAGAAGTGGGGCCCCTCAAATTATAGAACTAGGACCTATATTTGGCAAATTTAATCTTTTTTAGGCCTACTAGCAATGCCAACTATAAATTCACCTCTACTAGATCTTTAAAAAGCTAAAAGTCTAAACTAAAATTTATAAGTTATGAAAGAAAACTAGAGAATCAGAAAAAATTATGAACTAAAATTGAAGGGAAAGGAAACTTACCTAGATGTAATGTTTCCCTAAAGATTTACAAGTTGATAGTGGTTTTCTAAGGTTTTCTAGGGTTTTCTAGGGCTCCTCAAATTCTTTAAAATTTCGAGTATTTTTCTAGATTTTACCTTTTTTTAGATGTTTTTCCAATATTTTATGGTATTAGCAATTTTATTGGATTTTATAACAATTTTTTAACGAATTTTTAGTCTATTTTTATAAAGGAGGATCAAGGGGATTTATATAGCTTTAGGTCTAGGCATCTTGTAAAGAATAATCCTCAAACTCATAGGGTTCACAATTGGTGCACACACTGGCTCTCGTCCATGCGCAACTGAGACCGTGCCACACAAGGACTAAAATGTTATTTTTGGCAAGAAATTTGATCAAGCCATAACTTTCAAACCGTAGGTCAGATTCAGGCGATTCTTAGACTTTTTGAAAGCTGCAACCTCCTCTATAATTTAGAACTAAAATTTTCCAATTTGAGTTTCTTTTGAGGGTCCTACGAGGTAGGACTTTAGGGTATTATTTTTAGGTTTTTGAATGTCAAATTGGTGTTGGGGCTAGTTTTTTATGTTCACTAGGCTCAAGGGTGTCTAACATAAAAATATTAGGGTATGTTTTGGGTGGCCTTTGGGAAAATTCGAAGGGGCATAGGTTCATTATGGTCCACTAAACTTAGTATGGTCCTTAGGACTCAGAATTTGAGGTTTCTGAGAATTCTATTAACCAGAATGGAAGTAGAATGGGGTGGGGATGTTGTCCCTCTTTGGCATTCACTTGGGTTACTAGGTGAATGGCAAGGAAGTAGACCAACAGTGACACAAGGAAAGACATAAAGAGGGGTCATTCTTTTGAATAACTACTACCCATTGAAACGGTGGTACACCGATGGATTTTTTATCCGTAAGATTAACCTGGAACTGTATTATCTTTGAGGTAAATATTTTTTAGTGAAAGTTCTCTGACAATCGATATCCGAAGTGACAGTCAACAGAAACCATGCTAACTTTGGGACAACTATTTTCCTTTGTTAAGGCCATCATAACCTATCTAAGACACTACTGTAGTCATCTTCGGTTTTAGACCTTTCATTTTGGGTCCGATGTTCAATTGAAACGGATTTTGAATTACATAATAAATATTGGTGGTAAAAATCTGGAAAATTAAACTTCTTTTTGCTTTTGATTCTAAATTTCGGGAACCACAAGATCAGGCTGAGTTATGGGAATCACAACATTTAGGATTTGGTAGTGGTGAAAATATCATATTCGAGCTCTATAGAAACTCATTTGTTTTGTAAAATATTTTAATAAAGATTTATAAAATAGGGAGAAAATGTTTGAAACAGATTCATGGTCTTAGGCTACAACTTTAACTAAAGAAATTAGGAATTTTAAAAAACTCGATAGATGCATATGGGAAAATTTAAAAATAGAGAGAAATTAGGAAACATGTACAATTTGGTTAGCTTGTTTAGCTCATGCAATGATTGAGCCCTTTAAGCAGTTTTATGTCTTGCACCGATGGGCAAATCTTTTTGTACATTTTGAATTTTGTGATTTGATTTTTATTTTGGGAGGATCGATCGGTAGTTTTATATTCGTGCTACCATGGAGTTGTAGAACTTGGAATTGCTTTTCCTTTTTTTTTTTTTGAATAAGGTATGGTCAAATTTCCTTAGGGCTCTTTTGCCCCTGACCTACCTGTACTGCATTCAAAGATTGGTTCCTTTGGGAGTATTTTTCTTTTTTCTTACTATGAGCTCGTCAAATCTTTGTTGGGTTCTCCAGGATGAGGAACCATTAATACCCATTCATCTATCAATCTTGGCTCTCGTGTCGCAATTCATAGCACAGTCTTTGGAAGTATCCGAACAAACCAATGTCTTAGATAGTATGGGATGCCCCGAGTTTTGTGGAATCTCCTTAGCCTTCAAGTTCCGTTCCTCCACTACTATTCCATTTAAAGTTTTAGTTTAATGAGGTCCTTCAAAGTTGCTAAAACTGATGCCTTCAGATTAATTTGCTTTTGACTTCATTCTGACTCATGAAGAGAAGAAGAAATTTTAGAGGAAGTTTCTAAAAGAGACAAAAATATGGAGAAATTATCTTTTTTTTATCGCCCAGGGGTCCCTTTCGAGTGTTCAGCCCGGTGGCCTTTTTTTTTTCTTTAGTGCTCGGAGTTCCTTTTAGATTTTCTGCCTGGCAATTTTTTTTTTCTTTCTTTCCTTCTTTTGCTTTTTTTTTTGGTTTATTTTATATTTTCCTATCCCACTTTTTTCTTATTTATTTATTTATTTCTCTCTTTTGAAGAAGAAGAAGAAAATGGAAGAGAATAAGAAGAGTAAGTGGTGCTTTTGCTTCTTTGTGGCACTTCATCTAATAATCTCCTCAAGTAGGATTCAAACCTATGACCAGCCAGTTAACAGCTGACTGCTCTACCACTAAGCTACTGAGGAACAATGGGAGATTAGATCTCATAGAGTTCAACTCTCGTTTTCAACCCATGACCAATATGGGCCCGAAGCTTCCTTCGTAACTCCCACAACTTCTTTGTAGTGGCTCCGTTCCATGCTTCATTTCATAGGGAATCTCAAAGTGGCTCTATTTCATTATATTCCATTAATTGAATACCCATTGATGTCATTGATATAAGAGATGTCATTTCTAGATATCTATATTGCTTTCTATATATGGAAAGTTAAGAAATCATCATATAATAATCGAGAAAGTGCAATAGAAAAAAAATAAAGGGGGTTTCTGATGATTTTGAAATCTTTTCTACTAGGTAATCTATTATCCTTACGCATGAAAATAATAAATTCGGTCGTTGTGGTCGGACTCTATTATAGAAATAGGTGGGAACTTGATCATCATTCCCTTTCCTAGGTAGCAAGGAGTTTCTAATCTTGGTTATCTTTGAATTTTTCTCTGCCCCTGGTTAGTATCCAACACTTCCTTGACAAAGGTTCCTAAATTCCTATTAAAGTGTCCCTATGAATTGCTTCATCAAGCCTTCGATCTTCAGACTCGGAGTCACTCTCAGATTCCTAGTCTTTCAACCTCCTACTCGGTTGGCTAAGATGCCCCACTTGGTTATTTGAGCATGCTATCCATGGGTGTATTTTTAGTCATCATATGAGATTGGATACACTTTGGAAGTGCACCAATGAACTGAGGGTGTGATCATAAGATAGACATTTAACCAATGCCAGATTGATGTATCGACAAACAATGGATAAACTATGTAAGCTCTATGGGCACAATTCTTGAAGATATTTGCAAATATATGCTCCAGATTTGATTTGAAGAATATGATATGCCTAAGAATCACCATATGAATGCCCCGATATGCCTTTAGAGTCTTGTTCGTTAGTCAACCCATATATGTTCTGCCTTACAACCATTGATAGCAGGAAATGTCAAACTCTCAGTTTGAGACAAATTCTAAGATACATATACTCCTAAGACTCATATACTCCTCTCCATTGGATATTGGAGGAATTGGTGATGTCTGACATACTTTCCAATCTAACGTCGGTCAAGTGAGTGCATCTTGACTAACGATTGATGATAGAAGATATCAAACCATCTCAATGCGAGACAAACTGTAAGATCCCATATATGCCTCTCCATATGATATTAGAGGAAGTTTGATGCGGTACGATATACTTTATAATCCATCGTCAGTCACATATATGCATCATGACTGATGATCGATAATAACGGACTATCAAGCTGTCACACCCCAAGAATTTACAATACTGATATTCCTGAGATGTGGCAATCAAAACATATATATACATCTCTTTTTAGGAA